TATTGTATAAATTACCAAAACTCTTCTCAATGTATAATATCTCTATTCTTATCTATACCACTGTAAATGTATACTTTTGTAACACCACACTGTCATTGTATCTATATCATGTACTTATATAACTGTCGAGCTATAATAGTTTTTACTATTAATAAAAAAAAAAAAAAGTCTCTAAATAAAGAATTTAAACTCCTTACCATGAAATTAGCCCCATGTCTCATTTACTTCAAGAATCATTTATTCAAAATTATATTATATTAACCAATGGTATTTAAGTCAGTGAAATAACCTAGACAATTTTTGAAAATGTCCTACTTAAAAATTGGGCGGCAATACTTGTAGTGCCTTTTATGGATACCCYGAGTTGTTTATAAAACATAAAAATCTTTGGCTAAATGTAAAGAAATGTACAGAYATAAATATGTGTTAATGGTTTCATGATTTTACATTTAAATTGATTATTATTAAATAATATATCTTTGAATTTTGATATTTCATTTTAAYGATAACTAAAATATATTACCTTTCTTCCAAAAGTCTTTTAAATTTCTCTCTGGCAAGATCAAACAATGCATCGATTTCTTCTTGTGTTCGCTTAAAGTTATCTAAACTGAATGCGTACACAGTAACTTCTTTAATACCTAAATGCAAGCACCACTGCAATGTTTCAGCCAATTTATCAAACCTAGAAAAGTATGTGCATAATTAACAAATCATAGTCGAAATTATAATACAGGACATATTTGGTTAGATCTGACAGTTAATAGGACTAGTATATTATTATAATGTATTAGCAACCTGATAGCATTCTAAATTTAAAAATATACTTTCATCATAATATTATAATAAACCTATCTATTTAATATTTAATATTAAAAAAAAAAAAAAAAAAAAAAAAAAATTAAAAACCCTAATTATAAAAAATAAAATAAATAAACTCAAACCCTAACTTCTTGTCAGGTGGCACTGCTGGGAGCCTTCCTTCTCTGTTATTAATGTTATTTATTTTTTATTTTTAAGTCACCACGCCTACTTATTATACACTGTATGTATAGATTGTAAATAAACTTTTATCTTCAATAAAAAAAAAAAAATGAAAAAAACTATTTAACATTATAATATTGTATAAGAATAACTACATTGTACAAGATATGATACACAAAATATGAAATTATTGAACAGATAAKAATCATAAATCTCAACGAACCCACAAACTTGACAGCTTATGCAGCATTAATATTAGTTTTTAATAAATCTTTCAACTCAAATATCACTTAAATAAAAGTTACAAATCATAAAAATTGAAACTCTTAATTACCTAAAATAAAGCATWTAAAATCAATAACTACTTAAATAACCTAAATTATTCTTTCAGTTTAGATAGGTATCTACTTAAAATATATTAATCAAATATGATTATTATATTCTAATTAAAAATATATTTTAAGTTACAGCGTAATTACACAATTATTCCAGTGGTACCGCATGGGAATCCAAATTGGATATTTCAACAAAAAATAACAATTTTAACACAATGAATTGAKTAATAATTAGTATTGYATATAAATATTTTATTCACAAAATTTTATTCTTTATAAAAAATATATTTAAAGTATATCAATACATCGAATAATTTATCTTTAGTAGATATAAAATTTATGCAATATCTCATAAGTGGGTAAGTGGCTTGAGTTGAAAATATTTGAACGAAACACAATCGTACAGCATTGGACACTAGCTTTAAAGTTTATGAAGCTTACATGGTTCTCAYTAGTTGATCTGGATTTAGTTAAAAAGCACATTTAGAATTAGAAAGGTTTAATGTCTTGGTGTAACAATAGATCTTGAGCTAAAAATATAACTTAGCTATAAAACGTAATATATCTACTTATTTTTAAAATAATTTTCTATTCACCAAAACATTAGAAAATGAAAAAATAAATTCATGCAAATGTGTATATAATATTAAGCTAAAACTTATGATCAAGACAATAATTAGGTAGGTATATCATGATGGAACAAAAAGTGAATCAAACCCTACCCAAAGGTTATTAAAAGTGTTTTTAAATGTTGCAACTCACCCTCGAACATGGCCTTCTCGCTTGGCAACACAATTTTTTTTAGCATAACGTCTATTACCGTCCATTATAAATGCTACATGTTTTGGTATTTCTCCATATGTTAGCACTTGGGCGCAAAAACGTTGCATCCACGTCATGGAGTTGTCGCGTATCCAAGACATGTYYGGGTATGTGAGAAACAGAACATCTAAGCCATTGCACGAATGATATAAGTATATAACCGAGCAGTTGACCTTTGAACGGTATTTTATCTAAGCATTTTCTTTAAAAAGTACATTATTGARCACTAAATTTAATAACGATCAAATTTAATATACGCCTAATTAATTAAAGTGCAGAGTGCATGAATAAAATAAGAAATACGAGTATAATAAATTATTATGAATATTATTCGTGAAAAGCTTAAAACAAGGTACAAAARCCTAAATACGTTTAAAGYGTCTGTTGATTAAATTATTTAAATTTATTTATATTATTTATTATGAACTATCAATTCAAGGTAGTCGTGGCCCTTGAGTAGAATGTTATCAAAATAATTTGAAACAAATATACAAAATTGATAAAACGTTAAAATACTTTGTACTTGASATATAAAAACCAAACCTAGAAAATCTGATACGTGTTTCAAGTTGTATGGATAAGACGAAGGGCGTTGAAAATTAATGGTAAACTGGCGACACTGTAAGTCATGCCGACTATTATACATTTTATTATTTTAAAATGTACCTATCCATGAAGTACCTATCATAGCATAATTTATTATAATTAATTTCTATGAACTTTCGTAGGTTCTACCAAGACCTAAAGTTGTGTGCATTARGTACTGCAAATTGCAATAGCACTAGCAATTAGCATACTTACACTAGGTGCAAATGTGGAATAACTAGAAAGCTAGAATGAAATGTGCAGTTGTAAATTAAAAAGTATGCAATACTGGCAAATGGCAATACTTCTATGTTTATTCAATTTTGAACAATACTGTAAATTTATTATTTTAAAATATTTTATTGAGTGGAATTGGATGTGCAGTTGCAAAATTTATAAATTTTAGACTCTGTGTTCAACCAGACTATAACTTTAGGAACCGACGATTTACATAATTAACAGTTATACATTCCTACTAAAATGGGTTTATAGGTACTTTATATAGCACAGTTTAAACAATAATATTATATTTTATATTTTTATGAATAAATTATCAGGATATTAGGACCATTAGATATACATACCTAAGGTATTACTGTCTACTATAATTTACTATTAATGCCTATAACGTATTATTATAGTCATAGCTGATTACCGGTCTTTAACATAATGCAAAGAATAAATTATAATATGTAGGTAACCTATACATACCTACCTAAGGTAATTGCTAATTTTTATTCATCTATACCAGGGCCAACATGGCAACATGAATACGTCCACGAGCCACATGAATAAACACAATAATTTTGAGAGCCAACATTTTAATAAATACAATTTATAATTTTATCGTTATTATCAAGTAAATATTGTTTTTTTTTTTAATAAAACTTGAGTCACATWCAAATATAACGAGAGCCGAAAGCTGGTCACCCCTGCAGATCTATACTAAATTGTGCGATTAAAGAATAARCAATAGCAAGCCTATCATAAGGATTTATTATTAKTATTATTATTTCACCCTAAAAAAAAACCTTGGTTTTAAATCTGATTAATACAGTMTGTTGGAAGATATCTTCTAAGACCGTGGTCTGCACTAGTAAATTGCAATCCATAGGTGTCTGCCGTCTGGTAATTAATAAAATAATTTATTAGAATAATCTATTTACATTAAACTGTATAGTTAATGATCTAATATAATATATGATTAATAACTGGTAAATATAAACAATTCAGTTCAAAAGGTTAGGTGAGCTTATCTATATTATTTATACATAATACATATATTATATATATCATTATTCATTTATAAATTATAATGAAGTTGGCTTAATAGGTAATGCAGTGGTGTAGTTATGGAGAGGGGATGGGGATAGATCCCCCCAGAGCCTATTTTTTATGTTTAATGCATTGACCTAGATAGTTATATACTGATATAAGATTATTTGGTTATAAAATTACCCATATTCAGTGGCGTACATTCAAATTTGCTCTGGGAGGGGTTTAAAAAAAAATATTAACACTAAAACCTTCTCTTTAAAACTGTCTATCTAGAATCTGTTTTTTTATAAATATAATATTAACAAATCTTTTTTGAATTTTTGCATAAACTRTGCACACCCCATCAATGCTATTCGATGTTTATAAAATATTTTTTCTATTTATTTAGTTTATTAATCGGTTGAAGGATCATAATATGTTTTTTGATAAAATTAATGATAATTAATAATTGATTAATATAAAATCAACATAATTCAGTCATCACTCATCAAGACGTAATGAGCGAACGCTAAAAGTGTTTTAATGGCAGTCTGTAGTAAAATGTCAAGCGCGGTTAATTTGGTGGCGGACGTCTTCGATTTATTCCTCCAAGGTGTGCAACAAACGCCGTTTCTTCCATCAACCGATATCGTAACTCACTGCCAGCCGCCGGGTCGGCCCTCTCCAACCCCACCTCACCACATTACTGGACGATTTTCGTTTCATTCCGCGGTTGCCTAGAGTTGAGTAGTGGCTACTTGTTATTTTTCGATCGCTGAATACTGCAAATTGCCGGTGATCCGTTAGCAAATTTTACGTTTCCCGCGTAAGTCGAATAAGCTTTTCATTTTTTGCACAGTTCGGCGACAATACATTGCAATTCGCAACTAGAACCAAGTACCAAGGAGTAAAAACACAACATGACCACTCAACAGTAAGTGAATACCTTTAATTTTTTTTCTGTCGCTAGTGTGTCCGTACGCGCCATATTGAGTCTGGACTACGGATGGTAACGGGACATGTTGGGTATAGACAACGGAGAGACCATTTGCGCGAGACGTTTGTTTGGCTTTAAGACGCTTGTGCCGTCGACGATAAGTGCTTCCGCTACCACCTCGTGCTCTGGTCAACTGCGCACACGTGTACCCGCCGTTTCCGTATTCCAACTTCCCCACGTCTTGAGATGAACTGTTAGCTTTCCCGAGTTAAGTTCGGGCATCCCTGCCAGTCCCCTCCTCCTCTAAACTTTGACTTGGTTCCTCTCGACATCCGTTTTCTAAAGAACCGCCGACTTCTGCCAGAAGACGCTTGTGTCCTAGCAAGTTGGRCGCGCGCACACCGGTAAATTAAGTCATTTTCGTTACCCAGTTGTGTGATTCAGTGAACCGTTGATCTTTACTTATGGATCTCTCAAAWTCGACTCTTAATACTTTATCGATCAAACGTGAAACGCCTCCTTCCGTTCCGCCCCCACCACCCTTGACACCCTCCTCTCTTAAACACCTTAACACTCGCCAATGTACCATGGGAACAAAAGAAATGATAAACCTTTTTTTTTAGTATTTATCTTTGAACCTTGAGGTGTGTAGCTCTCTTACTTTATGATGACTGATTAGGGTTTTTAATTATTATTATTATTATTCTGTCTCCTCTATCAGCGACRAAATTCTAGTGAACAGTGTTTTTGTTCAAATCAAGTACACCCCATTGTGYAACATTACTTCTGACAATAGTATCAAATTGCATGTAGTACTTAAACAATCAATAAATGGTTCGTGACTAATCGTTAATACATATTTAATYCTCCCTATATCTGTACTTAAAATTCTAGTTTATTTTATTCCAAGGCAACCTAGGTAATTATTGTTAATTTATATAAAATATTTTTTTTTTTTAATGGCATCATAATTTTATTTAAAACATTAGTTTCAATAAATCAATACCAAGTACTTAATTGTATTAAACGAGGTATTAAAGACATATGAGAAGATTTCCTAAACATTTTATTTTAAACGTTATTTATTAAAAAATCAATGATTTGTCGTAAATTTACAATATAATTAGGTATTTAAAGTGCTTCTTTAGTTTTCATAATCTGCTTTAATAAACATTTTYATCAGTATCAATAAGGTTTTAAAAACATTTAAAACATAGGTACTCAAAAGTTAAACTCATGTTTGATTTTTAAAATTAGTACCTGACTATTAGGAGGATACTTATTTCTTATATCTAGGTTAACTTAATTTTAATGATTAAAATATTGGTAGATATGAGAATTGAGTATTTAAGTTAATAAAAATGTAATATATATATATATATATATATTATTTTTATTTTATTTTTTTTTATTACTTTAAAGCCTCAACAACTAAGGTTATTAGCTTACATATTTTAAAATATTACTTATATATACAGGTACAATTTACAATACATTTTACAATATTACAATAAAATTATTTTTGGTAGGTATGTATAATTAAAGTAGGGGAATATCAAGGAAAACATATGAAATTATATGAGGTTATAAAGTTTGGTTATTTTTAGGAAAGTTAGAATATTAATWGAATTTTCATAGTCCRGTCCGAGTGYTTCGTAGAGGTGTTCTGGAATGTTTAAGGAGGTTCTGGTATCTGTAAAATTTCGGCAGTGTAGAAGGACRTGTTTGATAGTTAGAGCTTCTCCGCAGGTTGTACATTGGGCAGGATCGTCGTGTCTCATGAGAAAGCTGTGTGTAAGCCACGTATGCCCGATTCTGAGTCTATTAATTATGACTTTGTGGCATCTCTTGGAAGTGTGTGTTGGCCAAGGGTTGATATATATTATTGTTAGTTAATTATTTCTGTTTTTAATAAATATAAAAATGACTTATAACTGATAAATATTTTTAATGGACAGTTTATTAATAATAGGCTCAGGTAAATGTACTGTAAGCTATGTTATGAATAATGCTTGTGCTGTTGAAAATACAATTATTAGTTGTTAATAATTATTTATTCCAAAAGGAAAAATAATAAGTAATTTTTAAAATATCAAATACAACATTCAAAATCAATAAGATRCTAATACAAAGTCAAAAAAGTTCTGTAGTTTAAGTGCAAGTAAGCAGTTTAAAAACTTCATAATGTAACATTTAATTTTGACACTGATTTGCAAATAAACAAGTCATTTAGGTTCCTATAAAACAAAGTAAAATATATATAATTTAATTTTGATGTTCATAAAATAATTGTGTTTAATTCTTTAAAACCATTGCCTTACTTAACTTTTTACCTATATAGGTATGTTTAATATTAATATTGCCTATCATTTTGTGTTAAAATAATAAATATACTATTTTTTTAATTGCCTGCATTGTGACTTTATACTAGATTTAGCTTGTATCTTATAATTTCTATGAGCGTTAGAATAAAAATGTTCTAAAAATTAGGTATATATATATATATAATTAAGTATATGAAGTACAGATTGTACTTCTGACACAACACTTTTGAAATAAATCTTGATTTATATTAGGTATAATTAACAATATTGATTATGTAACTTTTTAATGAAAACATATACTCCTGTTATTCTGAAAAAATATAATATTTTTTATGATTCGATGTTTAATTTATAATATTTGAATTTGTGCTTTTTCGTATCTTAAATTAATAATCACCAATATGAAGAACTGCTTATTTTTAATGTATATTTTGCAAAATCTAATACCTACTACATCTATGACAATGGATAATACATTATTCAAATTTTTTCTTTCAGGTCTTTGATCCCTCCAGTCGTTTGGGCACAACGTAATGATGTTGTATATGTTACCTTTTGTGTAGATGATTGTATAAATCCAGACATTAAAATTGAAACTGAACAGATAGTTTTCCATAGTGTTGCTGGCTTGGAACAGAAAGTATATGATATTACCATACCATTATATGGAGCAATAGAACCTGAAGTAAATTTAATTAATTGATTTCATATTGCCTATCTATTTATTGGTAACCTTGTTATTTTTAATGTGTTTTTTTTATATAYATTTATATTAAAGATTAGCAAAACAATAGTTGGTGGTAGATACATTGAACTGATTTTGAGAAAGCCAACTACTGACACGAAATATTGGCCACAATTAACCAAAGAGAAAAAGAAATACCACTGGTTAAAAGTTGATTTTAAGAAATGGAAAGATGAAGATGATTCAGAAGATGAAGCTGCAGCAGGTGGTGGTGGAGGATTGGGTGGAGATGGTAACATTGACGATGTATGTCCAATAGATCAAATAATAACATTAATATTATGTTTTATTTAAAATATTTATTTATTTTTGTAAACTAGATGCTCAATATGATGGGCGGTGGTGGCGGCGCCCCTAAGTTTGGTGGTTTAGGAGGAGGCTTGGGAGGAGACTACAATATACCTTCTGATGAAGATTCTGACGATGAAGAAATGCCTGAACTTGATGACATTGAAAGTGATACTGCGGTAATTAATATGCAATTTCTTTAAATGTTTAGCTGCATATTTTACAATGACATATAATTTTTTATTAATTAATTAATTATTCTACAGGGCAAAGGCAAAGAGAAGAGTGAAGAAACCCTGCCTAACCTTGAAGAAGTAAAACCGAAAACAACCGCCTAATCTACTATTGTCATTATCTCATTCTTCCGAATTTTTGTTCACATAATAATACGGTTTAATTTAAATGATTTTGTATGTGTAATTTTTACATCAATCAAACATAATTTATGCTCTAGTGTGTGCATTAACATTTTTCATTCAGTTTAATGCCTATTATAGTTCACTCTGCCTGATTTATTTGTGAAAATATGGTTGAAACTTGAATTTTCTTCGTCCCATTCCTTTTTGCACCCCTAGATGAAAACTCCTGTAATTTTGTCATATAATTTTTTTTATTTGTTGAATGATAATTCCTTCAATTCCTATAGAAAATCAATTTACAGAAAGGCATTTTAGTAATGAATACTTTTTAATGTCACCTAACTTTATATTGTTTCATTAAACATTGATAATGAAAATTAAAATTAATGCATTCTGTTTTAAGTTGTCTTATGATAAATTTAATTGTCTATATTAATTATATATTATCTTTTTAAGCTACTAGTTTTTTTCAGATCTTATATAGTAGTAAGATATGCAAATGAATAATTGAATGTGAAATTAATCATTACTCAACTTAAAATATTGCTGTGGTTTTTAAAAGTAAAATATGAAGGAATCTAGATATATCTGCTCAATTTTTAATGATCATTATATATAATTA